TGCTTGCATTGATTGCTGTGATCCATCGCCTGACTTTGAGAAAAACGAGTGAGATTCTATTTTAGTTTTGTGTCCATCTACTTTATTGATTTTGTTCTCAATGTAAATTTTTGTTCTATTTGAAATCAGGTTAAGAAGATGGTTTAGATCTTTATTAGTGCAGAGTGGTGGGCATTTCTTGGATGTCTTCAGATCAAAATTTCCTGATAGGTTGGTAAGTCACTCTTTTATCTTTGGTTTTTTAAAAAGTAATTTTCCAGTGTACTTCAAGTGATTATACACTGGCCAGCCTGTCCTATAGTTCACTTCAAGTGGTATATTGTTTTGGGATGTTTTTGCAGAAGAGAAGCCTATACATGTTGGTCAACTAGTACTGGTGCTGCAGAATTTAACTATGGGACAAGGATTGACCATATTCTTAGTGCAGGGTCATGCTTACATGAAGATCATGATCTAGAAGGCCATGACTTTGTCAGATGTCATATTCAAGAGTGTGACATACTGGTGCAATACCAAAGGTGGAAACCAGGAAATACACCAAGGTAAATTTGTAGTTTATGTTTGTAGTATGGTATGCTAGGAAAGTTTCTAACTTTGATAAGATCTCTGTATGTAATTTTTTAAACAGGAGGGGGTCGAAGTGAAATCAGAATCAACTAAAAGTACATTTATTCTGAGAAGAAGCAATATCTCTAGTTACACTATTTTGTATTTGCAGATGGAAAGGAGAGAGGAATATCAAGTTAGAAGGCTCAGATCATGTTCCTGTTTATGCCACATTAATGGGACTCCCAGAGGTGTCACAGCATAGCACTCCCTCATTATCTACCAGATACCATCCTCAGGTCTCTGGGTATCAGCAAACTCTTGGTGTGCATTTTTTGTCACCTCCATTGTGAGCAAATTTAATTACTTTTTTCTTTTACCCAAAATTGCCACTTTGACATGATTTGTGACTCCAATTACTCAGTTCAATAATACATTACCCCGTACAATTTTTGTGTTCCCGATGTGAGATGACTACGTTGTAATCCATGGAAAATAAAGCATTTTCGTTTGAGCTGGGACTATAAGGTCACAGGCTCACAGCTACATGAACCCAAAACATTAAAGATTCATCCCTTGCTTATTTACTTTCTACGGAGTGATCCC